TATTTTTGGGAGCTACAGGTAAAGTCTTGACAAGTTTGTCACGGGTCTGGGGGAGTTTCAGCCCCCACCCCTTCTCCTCCTCTCTCTCTCTGTGTCTCCCCGCAGCGAAATTCAGGCTCTAGTGCTCCGACACTGCAGCAGCCACGTTCTGCTTTGAAACATTTCTTTAGTTTGTTATTGCTACGAGCTCTCATGCTAAAGCGAGTGTTCACTCCTCCCGACACTAAGAAAACAGGAGGGGAGGAGTCAGCTGAGCTCCTGTGTAGCGGAGCACAGAGAGGGAGAGAGATGAAGTAAACCAACAAGCAGGAAAATGAAACTTATCGTCCTCATCTTTTTTACCGACCTCAAAATAACTTATCGTGCAATTAATTGATTTATTGACTATTCCGACAGGCCTAGCCTACAGTTTGGATAAATACTGTAGAATTAATGTGTACAAAAAAAATAACTGTTGGACAATAAAGAGTTTGTGAAAGATTGCCTGAAATGGCTGTTCAGACGTGTAAGGTCCAAAGCTCTGTGACCCGTTTAAACTCTGATGTTACTACTCTGGGTTTTCCCATAGATTCCACCAAAGTCCCATTAAAGTCCTCGTTTTTTCTTCACGGTTTTAAAAGTTTTGTCTTCGTGATTCGACATATCACTACCAAACATAGAGCTTCACTTCTTATGCTTCAGCACCATCAACAGATATAAATTTCTGTAAATAGCTCATGCYTCATCTAAAGTTGGGATCAGATTCATTTCATGTCACCAAACCTAAACAGTTTCTTTCAGAGCCTCGGATTTTACCGATGAAGTTTTCTCCTTCAGCCGAGGTCAGCTTCTCATCTGGCTGCTGGGTCAGGATGTTGTAGAAGTTGACTCCATTGGTGTCCTGGCAGAAACACAGTTATTAGTTTGGTTTGCCAATATGAGCCTCAAACAATATTTGGATAGTAAGACTTACAGTAGCTTGAAAGAAAAACAGCTTTGCAAGCTTGCAGGGAAAAATAGCAAAAACTAAGGCTTTTCTGCTTTTTTGTAAATACTGCTCAAAAAAGTGCTTCAAAAATATATGTTTAAGATTATATTTTATTTAAAYAACCCATAGAAAAGGTTCATTACATTTTGACAAAATGCAATTGTTGCAATCATTTTAACCACAACACTACATCTGTCTCTCCACACAGCACTTTGTGCATTATTCCACGGTTCATTGTGAYGGGTCACGTTAATTGTTGAATCGTTACAGAAAGAATTATAAGCTGCCTATAAATATTCAGACAACGGCTGCATCTTTGGGCAAATTACAAGCAACAAACCCAGTGGTGACAACAAAATAACAGCACTTCTGTTCAAAATGGATTTCAAATGCAAGCTACTTGAAATTATCATGTTTTACGGTGTTGTTTTATTTTAACATCTCAATAAATAAATAAACTCAACAAGACCAAACTATTGTTTAAATTTCAGCCAATGTTTTGTTAGTTTTTTTTTTTGGTAATTCTATAACAGTGCAGCCACTAGAGGGTGCTGTAGCACCCTGCAAACCCTACCATCACCTAATATTTTCAGTTATTTTACAGCTGTTTTGCACTGATTTCAAAATAGGGTTTTTTTTGTTTGTTTGTTCTTGTTTTTGTTTAAACTGAACTACCCAGTCAGGATTTAGAGGTCATCAAAGGTTGATAATTAGGAAGCAAGTCCTGCATTACGTGTGTAAAACCATAAAAAGATCGCAGAGCCCTGCAGACATAGAGCGCACCAAAAGTTCAACAGTTTTTTGAACTGAAACAGAAAACAAACAAGATAAAACATTCAGATAGGTTTCACTATCTCACAACAACATTAACACACTGCCAGGGTTGAACAATGCATTTATCAAAGCACCTAACCACAGCCTTTCTATCGGACTAACTCTGAGTGGCCCAGTCACTCAGTCTGAGGTTCTGGTCCAACAGATGAGTGGTGCTGACCTGCTCAACCACAGTCTCAGTCATAGACCACAGCTCTGTGGCTTTCAGGAAGTCCTCCTTCTCCACAGCCTGCTTCACCTTCTCTGCAGCACTGGTGACGTCCGACAGCCCATAATCATCCAGCAGCGACTGCACACAGACGAGCAGAGAGAGGCTGAACGTGACAGCGCGGCCCCAGAGGCAGCAGGAACACACCTGTGTTACTTACAGTGGAGTACAGGTAGGGTCCCCACGTCATGACCGAGTCTGAGTAAAGAACAAGTCCAACAATGAGCAGCGCTTTCCTCGTCAACAGAAAACCTTATATTTCATCTGCTGAAAAATCACAGTCTTTAAAAATCTGCTATTTTCTACTGTCGTGATGGCCCAGCCACAGATCTGTATTACTGGATTCTACAACACGTGACTGATCGCACCGCACACAGGTGCCATTGCTCTGCACTGAGTCGGGACTCAGGAACATCCATGAATGGTCGTGAAAATGAGATGCAGCAGACGGATACAATAAGGGATACAATGTTTTGCTATGAATTGTCAACAATACAACAACAAGATGACAAGATCAAAGCCACAGGTCATAAAATAATTTTTATTTTAAACAAATGGCAGAGATGCAGGAAGTGGGTCAGTTATGTAGATTGATTTTGACAACCTTATGTTGGGTAAACACACGAAAAGACAAACATCCTGTTCCAACAAATTGTTATATATACGTACAATTAATATTGTTGTCATGTTAGGATAATAATGTAGTAGGTTGTAAATATGATGTACAACAGCAAAATTACTTTTACTACTATTAAGTTGAACTGTGTAATCTATATTATCAGACCAGTGTTCTGTCCAGTCAGCATATGTTATGTCTCATAGTTTACAATTATATCATTAACATGTAGATCTGGGAAATCTAATATATATA